ATCGGACTCATCGGATGCAGGATGCGGCTTTTAGAACCACTGCTCACTTCAACCAACATTCTCCCCTCCGCTATCCGTGTGTTTTCTTCACCACAGGAAACAACAACAATCTCAGAGCAGCAACATACCACACTGAAAAAGTTTTGTTCGACAGAATTGGCTGGTGAAGTGAGACTCAAAACCTCAGCTTATCTGCTCCGTCAGGACAGTGTGGCTGCAGTTTGATCAGATCAGCTCTGACAGTTTTGGCAACATCAGCAAATAACAACAAAATTGTCCTCAGACTTAGTCGCGAACTCTGATCAGCGCTTTGAAAAACATGACATCAGTTTTTCCAGATTGAGCCTGAACGTGCTTTGGACGTTTTCCAGTGAAAATACAGAAATATTTAAACTGAAATTACCGACACTGTTCGAAAGGGGGAAGGTTTGACAGCTCTGTCTGTACATCGTAAAGGTCTACTACTTTGTGGAAGCAGTAAATCTAACATTTCAGAATTAAACTCCAGCTTTTTATTGGCTTTTCTTTTGTCCAGGTGACCAGGAGAAGATCAAGCAGCTGGAGGAGACCATCCGAGGTCTGACCAAAGACCTCCACAACATGCAGACCACCATTCATGGCATAAACCAGAGGCTGTACGTGAACCTTGTTTTCAATACATCATGTGCATGTTGTACTTCGTGGAGCACATTTACCTGCACGCTGAAATCCTGTTTGAAGAGATTGAAGAAGCTCTTATTTACTGGTGTTCTTACCGTGAGGACGCGCTGCACGCTGTGTATCACTGTCTGTTTATCACTGTTTACTGCAGCAGGTCAGTTTACTGAGAGCTGCTCTGCTTGTTTATTCCAATATGAGGACACTAAGCCATGAATAGTTGCACAGACAGATTGAACTATACTTAAACAGAATCAGCTATATTTGGATGACGGCTTATGTGTCCTCTCATGCTCTCCAATCACCACTTCCCTGTTTGCAATATACACTTGTATATTACTTAATATTTACCTTTTGTACAGGCCTGGACTGAATGGAGCCATTGTTCCTGCTGATTCAGCTCAGCCACACATGAAGGAAACCATCAACAACATCCAGACCAAGCTGGACCACCTTTATAACAGGACTCAGGTAACCTCTGACACATGTCACTGTAAACTTACAGGATGTGTTTATATAGGGTAATATTGTCATTTACTAAAATAATACTGTGACTGGGCTGGTCCAATAATATACTGGATTTACATAGTGTTGCCACTGTAATCAATATTGACTGTAGCTTCCTGCAAATTGGAATAGAATAGAATAGAATAGAATAGAATAGAATAGAATAGAATAGAATAGAATAGAATAGAATAGAATGATTTTATTGTCATCATACACAAAATAAATGAAATTAAAAGACAACTCCCATGGTGCAAAAGTATAAAAGTAAAAGTTTAGTTTACAGAAGGATTACAACATTTTCTTCTTTTGAAATCTAAAAACTGTGAATTTCGGATATATACTATTAAACAATGTGCTATCCAGAATTGAAATCTAGCAACTCTGTTTAATATTCAAAAATGCATTTACCACCGAAACAGTAAAACCAGTAAAGGATGAAATAATAGGAAAGTTATTTTTTGAGGGATTAGGATCATTTTGAAATATGCAACATATTGTAGTCTGTTAAATATATTTTAGAAACCAAGAAAAAGTAGTTTAACTGAATGGAGGGAAAAAAAGAAAAATCTAATAATAATAATCTTTTTAAAAAGGCGTAAAAGTTATCCATACTATTCTTAAGGCAAAAAAAGGGAAATATTTAAAATGCAATATCTTAGTAAAGGGATCAAAGCTATCAATAATACTTTCAATACAAAAAAGGAAAAAAATTATCTCAATAAAAGAATAAAAGTTAGCAATAATATTGCTAATGCAAATATAAATACATAAAAATGTAAAACCTTATTAAAGTGCTAGAAGTTATCGATAAAATCCTTTATGCAACAAGAAAGTATAAATTAAAAATCTAGTATCTTAATGATGGGATGAAAGTTAGAATTAAAATATTCTTAATGCAAAAAAGGAAAAAAAAAGTCTTAATAAAGGGATAAAAGTTGACAGCAGTATTATTAGCTGCATTAATATTTGCTTGTCCAAACTTCTAAACTTCTCTAACAGTTGCTTGTCTAAACAGTGCTTAATCAAGTTTTGTGCAAAAATGTTGTTTAAATCTTTTCTTTTCTTTTTTTTTTTTTTAACAGTAGCCTGCTATTGACAGTCATTCTTGTTATTGGCACCAAAAAAACCATCAGATTTTATGGTTTTTAGCTGTATTTTGGAGAAACAGTAGAGTACTGTTAGAATTTGGCTGCATTCTTATAGTGATTTATGACAGAGTTGATGTCTAAATGCATATTCATGTTCATTCATGTGAGCGTTTTGGGTTATTTAGGTTCACGATCAGACTCTGCTCAACATCAACAATCACCTGGTGAACGGAGGAGGCAACGAACTGGACGGGGCGGTGAGAGGAGATGGAGGCGGAGGAGGAAACCAGCTGAACACGCTGAAGGAGGAGATACTGACAGAGCTGGAGAGACGAGTGTCTCTGTCCTGCTCTGCCTGCCAGGTGAAGCTCAAAACGCAATAATCAGATCAAGATGGCAAAAACATTCGCCACTGACTCAAAAAAGAGCTGGTTTGTTTAGCTGTTAAATTACCATGCATCTCGCCCCGTGTGGTTCTTTGAGTGATTTCTGCTGCCTAAAGCAATAAAAAAATATGATGGCCACATGCAGGCAGTAACAGCGCTCCAACATAAACCACCGTGCAAACAAATAATCCAGCGAAAAACATTAGTGCAAAAAAAAAGAAGCTCACAATCAAGCAGCGAAAGAAAGATTAAAGGAGGGAAATGGCAACAAGGCCAGCCACAGAGTTAGGGTTTAACATAAAACACATTTTATTGTATAAATTGAGTTTTTATTTGCCTGGTGTTCTTGTGCAGTCATGAGCCTCTGGGCACAGACACATAAAAAGACCCCCCATGAGCCACAACAGCAGCCAACCCCTGTGATTTTATTCTGTTATTTTATCTATTTTTTATTTCTGTTGTTGGTTGAAAACTTCACAGAACTTGATGAGAGGAAGCTACATAAAACCTTTTCAAATTTCCCCTATAATGTCAGATCCATGCTGATAATACTGTCAACAGTTATACAAAATAGTAGCAATACTCCACAAAACAATACAGGAAAATGTTTGTGATTTAGGTTCCATTTTCTCGCACCGAGTGATCGTCGATGATTATTTTCTTAAAGCAGAGCACACTTTAACACAAACTATTAGATTTCCTTTAATTCACTGTAGTTCTATTATCACCTCAGCATCCAATATGCATTCTGTAGCTGTATTGTGAAGGAAAATGTAAAGAAAAATGAATATTTCTTCTGGCCTTATGACCTTCTTGGTTCCTTAGCATGTGCCTCTAAACAAAAAGCAACAAATGCAATACAATATATACTCACCTGTTACTTTATTTGGTACACCTTTGTACCAAAAAGTGCAAAGGTGAGGTCGTAGTGAGTTGTGCAGTATTCACTGCAAAATATCAAAATATATATTTCATATATTACTTACGCATTTATAATTTTCTGTATATGAGCTTTTTTTTTTTCTTACATTTGCAACATTACCAAACCTGAAAATGCAAAAGCTGCAAAAAAGTAGAATCAGCTCTTTTGTGATAGCTTTCATTAGGTTACTCAGGTGTATTTACTAAAGTAGCTGGTGAGTGTTTAATAGAGAAAACGACAGTTTTTACTCTATAAGAAAGTGAACGTGTCAAGAAGCAAAGCAAATCTACTGATACGAATGGCCTCTGAAAAAGCAAAGGTGCATACCATATATACTCAACTTAGCATTTTGTAAATGTTTAGAAAAATACACTGAATTTTAAAACATAAGCATGTAGTATATCGAAATATTGTCCGTTCTTTTTAATGCAAAACATCTTAAACTAGAAGACAAGCTTTTCTCAATAGTTTGTTCAATGTCATTTTTTTAGTTTAATTATTTCATTTTCAGATACGTTGTGTCAATGTAATTAACAATATTTCATTATTATGTGTAATATTACTTTACTTTCTCAGAATCGTTGCCAGTTTAGCTTCTTACTTACATTAGCTTTCTCATTATTATTATTATTGTTGTTGTTGTCAGTGTCTTCTTGTTTTTCTATTAGTCACTGCATTATATTCTCATAGTATGTCATTTTGTTTTCTAGGCAATATCCGGCACAAGAATTTCTCTTGGGATTATAGAGGTTCTGTCTTGTTTTATCTTATTTTGTCAAATTAAAGTCCTCATCCTGCCTTTTTCCTGTAGGCCGGTGTGGAGGACCTGAGGCGGCAACAGCAGGAGGACCGGGACAGAATCAGAGCCTTGGAGAAGCTGCTCAGCTCCATGGACCAGCACTTGAGGCAAAGCTTGGACATCTCCCGCAGAGAGAATGAACGCTTCCAGGCCTGCTGCAACACCGTCACAGAGCTGGAAAAGAGGCTGACTGACATAGACGTCCGAGTCACCTCCACCTCAAACAAGTGTGACACCATCAAGGGGCGGCTGGATAAGGAGCTGGCCGGGACGGGTGGAGGAAAGGGAAGGGTGACGGAGGATCGGTTCAACAGCAGGCTGAGAGACCTGGAGAAGAGGATGAATAACACTGTGAGGAAGGCAGAGCAAAGGTGCACCAACACCGGAAACAACATGAAGGACACGGTGCAGAGAGACGTCACCCAGTTGCGCAACATAGTCCTCAGTCGGCTGGACGACAACGGCTTCAAGATCGGGAAAATCGAGCTGGACGTGGCTGTTCTTGGAGATACGGTGACAGACCATAGTCGACGTTTGAGCCGGCTGGAGAACATCACAACCTTCCTCGACAGAAGGCTAACATCAACCACGAACTTGTGCAATGAGACCTGTGGGCGTGATGGAAAAGGCCAGTCGACGGATGAGACTGTGAAAACCTTGGAGTGGAGGGTTGTAGCCAACCAGGAAGAGATCCAGAAGTTTAACACCAAACTGAACGATCTGTCGGTGTCGGGAGACTCGCTGATGGATCGAGTGTTTGACCTGACAGATGATGTGAAGAAGATAATAGCTGTCACGGGGAAAGATGGTGAGAAGTTCAACCGGATCGTCACAGAGATTGAAATGTTGGGTCGCGACTTTGAGGACTGTTCCATTTGCAGGACTATAGAGCACGACTTGCGCTTGCTTACTAACTCCACCACGACTGGACTGAGCCGGTGCCAGACCGAACTGACGGATCTGCGACGAAAAGTGGACTCTGGGGAATCAGTCTGCTCTCAGGTTTGTTCCAACCTTCAGGAGGAGGTGGGACGCCTCAGAGAGGAGGTGGAGGAATGTACAGGACAGTGTAAAACCAACATAAATGACCTAAAGAAACGTCTGGATGGTCATTCTTTCCACAGTGGAAGATTAGGAGGAGATCTGAAGTCCATCCAGGGAGAGCTTGGTAGAGTCATGGTCACGTTTAATTCTATTAATAACACTCTGAAGGGTCTGGGAAGAACCGTGCAGACACATGGGAACACACTGACTGATTTGACCAACAGCAAGGACGACATCATCTCAGAGGTAAGATGCAATGATGTAACAACTGAAGGGAAACATGTTTGCCCTTTTTCAGCCAATTAATCAGATATTAGATGAGGTTGGACTCACCCTGATAACGCTAAAAATTGAAGATAAGCTTCAAACATGTTGTGAAAGGGTCGTATTGCAACTCAAACTATGATATTTTCCTAAACTTAACTGAGCTTCTAACATGTAGTTAATGTTGCAAAAGGGTCAACTTTATCTCCAAGCATGATATTTTCCTAAACTTAACCAAATGGCAAGTAAAAAATTAAAGTAAACAAAGAGTGAAAACGAAACTTAAGTCTAAGAATAATGTAGAGCACCACCCGGTCTCCTAAGTGAAAGTCCCAATGTGGACTTATGACTCCATCCTCCCTTCCTGTCCTCTTCTGTGGACTTTCGATCTGGAAGCCTTTCCGACTATGTCATAGGGTAACCTTCTGGTCAGAATATATATTTCTTTCAAAACATCAATGAGAATGCAGCTTGCTTGTGTAGGAACTTGATTTTTGTGAGACAGCAATGACCAGCCGCTTTGTATTACTGTATATTTGAACTTTGTGACTCTGTAAATTAAAGCAAAGCCTACTTAGTAAACCTTGTTCCAAGTCAGCTAAGTTTATCCAAAAGGTCTCTTACCAGATTTTTTTTTGACTAAATAGATATGAGTGTTTGGGGTACAGCCAGGATTTTGGAAATACTGAGTTCATGGACTCTCCTGTATTTCACAATGACAAGTGCAAGATTCTTTGGCCACTTTTGTCGATCTGTGCTGACATTAATAGGCTAAAATGTTTACAGTAACTGTTACCGGGGCAGCCACAATATTAAAACCAGCTGCCTAATATTGTGTAGATCCCCTTCCTGCAGCCAAAACCAGCTCTGACCTATCAAGGCATGGACAAGAGACCCCTTGGGGTGTCTTGTGGTGTTTGGCACCTGGACGTTAACAAATGGGTCCATCCACTCTGTTTTGTGGATTAGGGTCAGGCCTTACAGTATAGGCTTGTTTAGGTGCAGATTCTCAATTGATTTGTGATCTGGAGAGTTTGGAGACCAAAGCAACACCTTGGGCTCTTTGTTGTGTTTGTTGAACCGTTCCTGAGTAGATTTTGCGATACGGCGGGCTGCATTGTCCCGCTGTGGGAGGCGTCAGGTAGTTACTTGGTCTACTTGGGTAATACATGCCAACGTAACATCCACACAAGTGCCATTATCCAAGATTTCTCAACTAAACACTGCATTTAACAACATGATCAATGTTATTCACTTCCCCTGTCAGTGGAATTAACGTTGATGGGTGTTTTTTTTTATATATGGCAGAAACTGTATAATATTTGCAATGTTCACCATTTGTGTTTAACACATAAGCCTGCTTACATCTGCTAAACAACAACAGCAACACCCAGCACCACTGATTATGATGACAGTGTCACTCATTTTGCAGGTATTAAGCAAAGTTTTTTGACAAATGGATGAAAAATTAGCCCAGTAGGCTTTGTTAAAACATCCAAACAGGGCTGCCGCTTTAAGCTCACCTGGTTGAGCTGGCGACTCATGTACAGGGGCTATAGTCTCCAATGCAGCGGCCATGGGTTCGAATCCCTCTCATGGCCCTTTGCTGCAACCCCTTCCCTCCATTCTCCTCCCCCACTTTCCTGTCTCTCTTTTGACTGTCCTAAATAATAAAGGCAAAAATGCCCAAAAAAATAACTTAAAAAAAAATCCTAACAGCTCTTGAGATTTTTTTTTAACCAACGACAAACATGTCAAGCTTACAGCTCCATTAGAAGAAATCCATCCAACAGTTTCTACGATATTTCAACCAAAGTGGTGATTCGACCAACCTCCATGTAAACTGTAGGACCATGCTGCTAACATGGCTAAAAAGACAAAAAATTAAAGAAAAGTCAGAGAATTATTTATAAGTTGTAGAACAAATCTGAACTCCCACCCCTCGTGACCCTTCAGATTTATCTTGCGACCCATTTCAGTGTCTCAAGCCCAAGGTTGGGAACCACGTAACCTTGCTACTTGGAATTAAAAAGAAAACACGGTGGTGCGGTTGGTAATTGCACCGATGATCTGTGTGTTGTTTTATTAAACTGTACGTCCTGAAACATAACTTTTCTTCACGTACTGTACAAACATTATGCCAGTCGAACATGCATCGTGGTTATCTTGGCAGCTGTGTTCTCACATAATATTATTCTAGCTATGAAAATATTTAAGCACATTACAAATATTTGACAGACAAGACTGAGATGATATGCTGACATATTTTTGCGTGTGTGAGATACCGTAGGAAAATAAACTGTAACGACGAGGGGAAAAGTATATTTACAGAAGAACTTTGTCAAAAGAAACTCATCCAAAATACACACATTAACAAGCTTCTAAATTCTCTTCAAGGTGAACAACTTGCAGAAGGAGCTGACCGAACACATCGATGACTCCAAGCTTCGATTCGGCGGTTTGGGCAACGAGATCCAAATAATCAGGAGCAACTTCATGACGGAGGTGGGCGAGTGCCGGCGGTCGAGCGACGGCCTGGAGCGAAGGATCTCCAAGCTGGAGGGAATTTGCGGACGCTTCGACTCTCTCTCAGACAGTCTGGAGAGGATCAAGGACGGCCTGAACCGACACGTGTCTGGCTTGTGGACCTGCGTTAATGGACTCAATGTCACGGTTACGTCTCAAGGAGATGCTATCGAGAACATCCAGAACGTCCAGCTGGAGAACATCCACTCCAAGATACACAGGCTGAACTCGTCAGTGGTGGACTTGGTCAAAGAGTTCCACTATTTCACAGAGCAGGACTTTGTGGGTGAGTCTCAGAGGACAAGGACTCATTGCATTTGACTTTTGGTCAAGAGATAACACCCGCTTGAAGGGAGGGTGAGAGGAAAAATAGACCAAAGAAAGAATCCAGGCTGTCATCTTGAAAAGAATTCCCTTAAGAGCCTGTAAAGTCTGCAGTCTGTCTGAGGGCTAAGTTTTAGTAAACATGAGAGTGAAAGCCACATCCCGAGTCACACCAGGTTAAACGTCTTGGCTTTCTTGGCTTTTTGTACATGTTTTTAGATTCCTCTGAGGCGATATTATCACTGGTGAAGAGGCTTTTCAGTAGGGTGTTTCCCAGCTGTGCTGTCTCAACATACATTCCTCTCCTGCAGGTCCACCTGGTCTACCGGGACCACGCGGAGAAAGAGGCGAACGGGGACCCCAGGGTGCTGTCGGACCCCAGGGAAGGGTGGGACCTCAGGGTAGAGATGGCAGGCAGGGACCCATAGGACCCCCAGGTAAAAAAAAAAGACAACCACAACAACAACAAACAAACTCTGCTGCATAAAATAAAATTTATATATTTAGAAACAGTATCTTTGATGTGTTTTTTTTCATATCAGTGTGATAAGAATAAAAAATAAATGGTTGATGATTAACTCTGTTTTTCTCCTTCATCTTCCATTCCAGGTCTCCGAGGTGAACAGGGTATGTGTTGTTAGCGCTTAACAACAGATGAAAGAGCTCATTACTCTTTGATCTTGACTTCACATTAACTCTTTGTTTCTGCTCTGTCATCAGGTCCTGCAGGGTCCGACGCCGACGTGCCACGCCTTTCTTTCTCCGCTGCTCTGACTCGCCCGATGAGAGGAACAGGAACCATCGTGTTCAACCACATCTTTGTCAATGAGAATAAGGTCTACAACCCACAAACAGGTGAGCTCCAGTATGACCTAAATTACAAGTCCCTCTGAAGTATTACAGACTTTCTTTATTTGAATCTAAACGACTCGTTTACCCAAATTACAAATGTGGTATTTTCTCACTTTAGTTAGAAGGTTTTGCCCAAAAACAATAAGTGTATAATGAATAAAGCTGAGTGGTTTTTAATCATATACCCAGAATTACCAGTTTGTCTGTGTTATACTGTACAACCAGTGGTGGAAGAAGTGTGAACATCCTTAACTCTCTGTAGGCCAAAGTAACAATACAACTGAATAAAAATACTCAATTACAAGTAAGCATCCTGTATTATAAATACAACTTAAGTAGAACAAGTACTCCAGCACCATCAGCCTACTACATTTAAGAAGCTGGAATCAGATACTTTCAGACCTTTTATCTGAATAATAGTTATTTTAAAGGTTGACAACTAATTAACTATTAGCAATCTAAAGCTTTCAAATCATGTTTTTCTTATTTTATTAACTGTGCCTTTCAGTATTTATTGAAATTTTACATAATTTCTTTATGTCCATATTTGGTTATATAGTAAATGAAGCCTCCATACCTCAGCGTACTCCAACTTTAAATTAACGTTAAATGAATGAATGAAAACTAATTGATTAATCGCTGCAGCTTTACCTACAAAAAAAACAAAACTACAGACATGGCCTGAGATATTTGGGGGTTTTTTTTTGGCTGAAGTCACGTTAAGTCAAGTCAAGACTTCACATAATCAGGAAAAGACCTTCCAAATTTTGAAGGCACCATCTGCTTCGAAGTGGCTGTTTTGTCTTCATGATTCCAACTTTACAGTTTGCTCCAAGCGACTAGTCGTCTCATACAGTATTGTCCAGCTGACCCAACGTTCATACAGCTGATTCTAGCAGACTTTCATCCATCATGGTAAAAACTAAGTCTGATCTCGTCATGCAACACCAATTTCTAACCTCAGCCTACCTGCCTCTGTCCTCCAGGTTACTTCACAGCTCCTGTGAGCGGGAAATACTTCTTCAGTGGCATCCTGACGGGCCACAAAAACATGAAGATCGAGGCGGTGCTGTCCAAGTCCAACAATGGCATCGCCCGAGTGGACTCAGCCGGGTATCAGCCCGAAGGCCTGGAGAAGCCGATGGCGGAGGTCAAACAGATACCTGGAGCTCTGGCCGTCTTCAACATCATCCTGTCCATGGAGGCCGGAGACACGGTCTGCATCGACCTCGTCACCGGCAAGCTGGCCTACTCCACCGAACCGCTGACCATCTTCAGCGGGACGCTGCTGTACGAGACCAACTGATCGGACGCCGCGATTCGCCGATCCGTCAGCACGGGAGCTTCCGGTTGGTCTGTTGGACTCTAAGAGACAACAAAGACGGATGTAATTGAACTGGATTCATACAGCAGAGAGAATTTTATTTTTCTGTATGTGCTATAAGAAGAAAAACATTTCGACCACAGTGATTTGTTAAGTGTTTCGCAGCTTTAAGGAAAACTTTTGGTGCAAAGAGCCTTTTTTTTTTTTTATTCCTCAGAAAAAGCCACTTCAGGGTTATCTCTTCCATATTTCCATGCCATGTTCTAAACTTGAATTCTTTACTGATTACAACACTACAAGCCTTCAGGTCCCTCTTGTGTTAAATGCAAGGCAATTTGGTCAAATGATAAAAGATTAAGGATGTGGGTTATTTTTTTCTCCATGTTGTTTGTATGTGTCCTCCACCCACAGCATATCAAATGTTCAGAGGTTATTACACTCTTCTTTTTTTTTTTTTCTTTTCTCATTGCTCACAGTTTCATTCTGACCGCAAGCGAAATTCCCAGAAACGCAGCGCTGAATGCCAATTGTCTTGGAAAAAAAAAAGAAAAGCAGACTGATGTAGGCGGAGGGGACATAGTCCAAACCACTATTCTTTAGGAGGAAATGCACAAATGAAGTCACTGACAGTTCAGTCGGGAAACCGCAGGATTTTATAAATCATACAAGAGCGAAACAATAAGCCCATTTTAGGACATTAGCTTTTTGCCCAGGAACACGAGGGGAGGAGGGGGATTTTTTTCTGTGTCCTAATAAGGGACATGTAAACTCAGTGGAGGATCAAGTAGTTAAAGTTATGAAGCTGTTACTATCAGTCCATCTTGGAGTGGAATTTTTATATAACGCTCACAATAACAAATAACAAAGCCATGTGTATCTTTATTCCTATGCTTCAAATCCCACTTCTTTGATGCACTCACACGCATCCTGAAGTCTTTTAAGTTTGTACATGTTCTTGAATGGATTTTAATAGAAACATTGCACATTTTCTGGACTCCATTTGGTATTATATTCACATTATGGCCTAAAGAGTGTATCCACATGTTTCCTCTCTTTCCTCACAGTGCAGGTTTTGTCTCTGCAGGAAACATATGTTTGTCCTCAGTCTTCAGTGTGGGAATGTAATTTTATATGCATTGTGTAACCTTGACGGATTGTAAATATTTTTCAGCAGTTATAAGATTTTTATGAGTTACCACTTCACCTTGCCAGGTACTGTATATATTTTGTATGTTTTTGCCACATGTGTGCCTCCAATACAGATACCCAGTTTTACACGGCTCACGTCTCACTTTCATCTGGATTTTGTTCTTTTATTAAAAGAGCGACTATGTACCCGTTTTTTAAAAAACACCGTTCAGCCTGTTTTGGACTTGACTTATTTAATCTGGCACCTTGTTGGCCTTCCCAAATACACACAGCTGGGTCGACTTTTGTTTCTGGCTCCCACTTGAACCCCTCTCATCTCTTTCTTTTGACTCCAGCAGGCTAAATTTAGCTGAAGGAGATAGTTGAAGAGTCATTTTTTCTTGTGCTGCACTGCAGTGACACCTTGTGTTCATTATGGCAGCTCAGATCCTGCTGCTGGAGAACTTTGAGGACTTCAGGAAACCTTTGAAGGAAAGAGAATCGCTTGTCTGGTGAAACGTAGATCAGCACATTTATTTAACAACAAACTTGAGGTGCTTGTACTTCACTTAAATCTTTTCTCTTCTACTTCTCCTCCACCACACCACAGAAATAGGAAAATTCATTCCATTTTTTTATTTTACAAATTAAACAAATACAGCTGAACAAAGTTAAGTCAATAATCTACGAGTTAACTGACATAAATCGACAGCTATTCAGATTTAGAGCACTGGTGAAGATATTTTTCACTACTTTCAGACTTTTTTCACAATCATGATCAGTTTATTCATTGTCAAATAATCTGTTATTATTATTTTTATTTTATTTTAATTACCCAATTAGTTATTTGGTCTCTAAATGCCTGAAAATGGTGACAAATGTACATCTGTGTTTCTCAAATCCCAAGATAACAAATGTCTAGTTTTGTCCACAATAAAAAGATTTTCAGTTTACTGTCACAGAGGAGCAAAGAACCAGAAAATATTCAAATTTAAGAAGCTTTAGAAAGATTTTTTTCTTAAAAAATTACTCAAGCTCATTAATCGATTATCAAAACGGTTGGTGATTAATTTGTTGTTGAGGATGGAGTCAACTAGTCATTTAATTTATGGAAAATAATAAATCCATACTTGAAATCATAGTTCTAACAGTTTCAGTTGTTTAGAAAATAGTACCAGAAATTGAGCACCACTCAAACTAACTACAACAGAAGAATTGTGCCTTTACATGAATGTATATCTGATAATTATCTATTGCTATAATATACAATAGTTTAACAGACACAGCAGACATTGTGCTTTTCATACTTAAATACATTTTCCTGATAAAACATTTATATCTTAACTTAAATAACATTTGAATGCTGGGCTTTCACTTGTAACCGGGTATGTTTACATTGTGGTATGAGTACTTTGCTGATGTAAAGGATGTAAATACAAGACTCTTTGTAAGAGTCTCAGCATTCAATAGCTGTCACTCCGCTGTCACTCACCCAAACAAAGTCTTAACCGAGACTCTGTAAGCTGATCTGTGCACTATCATTCGAAGCTGTAATCCAACACAGACTGCTTGAGAACTTAAGAAAGCATAACAAGATGAGATACAGATATACTCTGTTTTCATAGTGGACTGATTTCATCTGGATCGCACGATTTGAAGCCGCTTTGTGGGAGTCAATTGCAGAGGTGTAGTCACATCCTGTACTCAAGGAAAAGTGCCGCTATCACAGTTTTAAATTACTACATTTATACTTAAAGTACCAAAAGCAAAAGCACCTAAAATACAGAATGGCATATTTCAGAGTGATGCACATTATTAGATTATAATTGTTGATGCATTAATGTGTTCATTATCTCAACACCTGGAGCTGGTGAAGGCGATTTAATTATTTTATGAAGTTTATCTGCTGGGAAGCTTGTCAATTTCCCTTCAAGGATCAATAAAGTTTTATCTTTATCCATAATATTAATTTATTTGTTTTTATTTTGTAGTATCAAACTACATATGCAAAGTAACCACATTTAGCAATCAAATACAACTCAGCAAAAAGTGCAATATCTGACTTTTGTGGAGCAGCAGAAATGTGAATGCTCAAATGAAGTACAAGTAACTCAAAACTGTACAGAGACACTGCAGACAAACATATTATTGTACAATTTGGAGATATTTAGCTTCCATAAAACCTGTTTTTTCAGGCTAACGGAAAGAAAACATCCATACTATGCATTTAGGTGTTTGTTTGTTTGTTTTTTTTTAACTACACTTTATCTACTTATGTCTATAAATGTCTATTATAACACATATTTTTAAAGTCCATTTTCTCAAAATGAGTTTTTTTCTTGATTTTAAACCAGACATCTCTTTGGGAGCACTTACATACAAACGTTCCAGGTTTATTCTAATTAGCGGAAGTTTCCTGCTGAGAGATTTGTTCATATTTTATTCATAGACTTATTTATGCAACATTTTATTCCTAAAAACATGGCCATGAACAGTATTTTAAGAATTCTGGAAAGAAAATGGAAAAAAAATAGATACTAATAAAAACTTCCATTCCTGCTCTATAGATATAGACCCAGACTCTCTTAAAATACATAATTGTACATAATCAACTGGATATCAGACCATACAACAGAGTTTATATGGGGCAATCAGTGATACCCAAGTTTTGGTTAAAATGTGAAGTTGTATCCAGTGTTTAATCACAGTCAAATTTGTTTGTATAACATGTTTTAAAACGTTTGGTGAGGCCAAACTACTGCAGAGAGTCAAGAACGAAAATATGTGCAAAAAGCAAAAGCAAAACTGAAACAGGGGCTGCAGGGTGGCGCAGTTGGTAGCACTGTTGCCTCGCAGCAAGAAGGTTGCCGGTTCGCGTCCCGGTGGGGGCACTGGAATCTTTCTCCATGTTCTCCCCGTGCAGTGTGGGTTCTCTCCAGGTTCTCCGGCTTCCTCCCACACAGTCCAAAAACATGTTGAGGTTAATTGGTGATTCTAGATTGTCCGTAGGTGTGAATGTGAGTGTGCTTGGTTGTCTGTCTGTAAGTGTAGCCCTGTGATAGACTGGTGACCTGTGCAGGGTGTCCCCTGCCTTCGGCTGGGAGAGACTCCAGCCACACCGCGACCCTAATGAGGATTAAGCGGTGAGAAAGAAAGAAAGAAAAACTGAAACAGGATGAAACTTGCAAATCAGTAAATGCCAAAGTAAAAAAAAAAAGTAGGAAAATGTAAGCTCTATAAAATAATATTTTTTAAAAAGAATAAAAAAAGAATAAGAGCAATCAAATTCCAAATGTTTGTTTTGAAATTAGAAAAAAAAACTGTTAATGGAGGAGGAACATATCACTGAATATTTGAAAGCATGGAGCTGCCATTGCAAAAAGAAATAGATTATTACATTTAAATGTTGTATATTTTTTGGTAGAAACTGTGTGCTCTCATGTGCACATTACCTTGCTGCAGTGAACTTTTATTTTATTTTCATACTGAGTGTGTTTAAATATTTTTTCTACAGTGTCTGATATTTCCGAGCCTCTCAGCAGCTCCTGAACGCAACGAACGGACGTCCTCTCCGGGATTTTCACGCGTGCCGTTGCCATGGAGCTCCGTTGCCATGGGGCCGAGTCTGTTTCCTTCCTTCCAAAGTGAAGCGTTGAGCTTTAAGGTGAAGTAAAAACGGCGCAGAAACTCAGTGTAAATGTGGCTTTGCTCGGTGGGAATGTGGACGAAAAACGGCGACAAGTTTTAAAGCTTTCCAGCTCAGTTAACGTGCCAAACCGGAAAACCGGAGAGACGAGCTAACCGGTGTAACCGAGCTGCAAGCAGGTGGGTGGAAGGATGAAAGTGTTATATCTGCCTTTTAATTTAATGTTTATGTCGCTGTAAGTGTCATTTACAGCGTTTAAAAATCATTTTCTTTACTTTTACACAAGTTTGTAAGCAGTAAAAGGTCAACGCAGGTCAAATCCTCCTACAGCAGTAACAGACAATTGGGTTAAAGTACCTATATTTTGGTTTTTAGCATCAAAAACTTGTATGTAGTGCATTCTGGTTAAATCTTATGCACCAGTTTGTCTGTTTTGATCAATTTATGATAGATATGTCTTTGTTTATACAAAGGAAAACGTGAAATTCAAGCATCTGGTGGTAATTTACAACATACTGCAGTGAATTTGTTGTTTTTTTAAATATTTATTCTTCTCAAGATAACCTGTTTTATCGAATGAGATCCCCGCTGAGTCCCACATGATGTACTCTCCTGGTAACTCATTTTCCTTTAAGTGATCGCATGTTTTCTAACTTGGTATTCATTTTTACTTTATTGAGCTTCCTGTATTTTCAGGACAGTCTTGCTGAAGTGTTCTGTGTTGCTTCTAAATGTGATCTTCCCTTCTGCATCTTTTACGTGTTCTCAAATGTATCATTAACAAATATTATTTACTCTCACTCAGGTAAAAGTTTTTAACCCTCCTATTGCCTTCAAATTTCTTTCTAATTGGGTTCAATTTGACCCCGGCAACATAAACCTCCAAAAACGTATCATAATTAAAATTGTTGCCCAAGTTTATGTGTAACTCGCCCTTTAAACAAAACTGAAAAAATTCTGTCAATCACTTATGTAGAGGCGTTAAACACCGAATGGGGTCAAATTGACCCCAAAGATAACAGGAGGGTTAAGCTATAAAAGGCCAAAACAGGTCAAATGGTGCCCCAGCAGTAAAATAAATTTGGCTTTAAACATTTATGTCCTGCATTCTGGTTTATTTTTATGCACCGGTTTGTGCCTTTCTGTATCAATTTATGGTGAACTGGACTATTTATGCAAAGGAAAACTCAAAATTCTGACTCCCAGTGACAAATTGCAATGTAATTAAATATATTGCAGTGAGGCTTTCGGGCATTCTGTGTTGTTTTTAAATAATTATTCTCCTGGAGATCCTGCTTTTTAATTTAATACGATCCCTGCTGAGTCAACACACACGTAGTCACGATTTAGTCTTCTGGTTACTCAGTTTTGCGTCAGTGATCACAGGTGTAATCACTTTTGCTCCTAAGAGTTTCTATTTTACAAATTCAATATAGTGTTTGTTTTTTACTGTTATTAAGAGGAAACACTCAGCTCGTCTATTTAGAAATAACACAATTATTGAGAGGTTTTTAATCTTGAATCAGTTGACATTTAAGTAATATTGCACAGGGTTGTGGTTAATTTTGTGGTAATATCTGTTAAAAACGTTCTACTTTAGGGCCTGGCTTTTTAATATAGTTTTTCTAAAGTATTCTGTGTTGCTTTCAAATGTGATTTACTCTCCCCCCCAGTTCTCTGTCATTTGTTGTGCAAGTAACCTCTTTTGATGTGGACATGGCATGTTTTCAAGTAAATAATTTATTTATTCATTGTAATTAATTCATAAACTTCTGGGGTTTAATAGCTCATATGTATTTCGGCTCATGTTTCTAAACTTTCTACACCTTCAGAACACACTGGATAGAAACTCCCTGCCTGACTATGTGCAAGTCTTTTGTGTAGAAAAGTGGACATAAATCACACACTGCTACAATCTGATGTTTACAATCTCAGTGGCTGCAGACAGAATTGTACTTCTTAAAGTTTAGTTGTGTGATTAAAACAAGCCGCCTATTATAAAGACATTAAGTCTTAAAGTCATGAGTATGCACAGGTCATCTTGTTCTGGAGCTTCAAATGGAGCCACACCTCAAGAGCAGCTCTTCCATAGGTTAACCGAGTAGGTGTGGGCTCAAATATGATTGGCTAATAGATGTGACCTAATTGGCCAGTTTGAACTAGAAAGGCAAGCCCCCCTTCCTTATGTCTATTCACTTGCCAGGAGGGAAGGGAGGAAGTAGTTGGATCAGAAGACGGCAAAACGCAGCACTGAAGTAATTGTTGAATGCTTTCTCCATTTTCTTTTATAGACTGCTGTTTGTTCAGACGCTGCAAATAAACAGCCTCCTATTTTCCAGCACAGTTTTCTTGCCAGAGTAATTTTGTCCTCCACATGCCTCGCCAGCCTTCCTACACCTCCCCTCGCAATCTGTGTTTGACACATGGAAGAAAATATTATTGTTGCTTTTATTAGTAAAGGTTGCAGCAGTTTTTCAAAGAAGAGGTAATTTGCTTCTTTCCGTTTTTATTAGGGGGAAACAAATGACATATAGTAAATACTGAAGGGAATGTATTCCCCTGTGTCCTTCCTCAAATCTGCACCTCTGGCAATATGTATATAAATATAGCTTTATAGTGGTGTTAGTGGAGTTTCTGTTTGAGTTAGATGGAGTTAAAAAGTAATTAGGGAACCATTTTCAAAGCAAAGCAGGTTGTTTCTACTGTCTGAGCACAACAACAACTCTACAGACTGTTGTGAAGTGACAAACCTCACAACAATTGTGGTGAATTGACATTAAAGAATGATTTCAACTGTACAAGCTAAAACCTACCTGTATAAAATTCCTCGCTTTGTAGTCACACTATAGGCAAAAAAAAGCAGTCAGTCAGCACCATAGCTGAGCATTTCCACCCTGGAACTGTGACGTACTTATGACAATATCAAAAACAGACTCAGACATCCAGAGTTTCATATGTAATGTCATTTTTTGTGTCATTATTCTTCTTGAGAATCCGTTTTTGGTTCTAAGATGCTCCAATATTACAGTTTACCAAAGCAGTTTCACAATGTTTGTGTAGAGTGGTAGGTGAGCTGGTGTGCTCCAGCACAAAGGAAGGAGTTACATGTAAGCCATTATAGGCAGGAAGGGATTATTTTCCTGGAATTAAACATATAAATATGTAACATGATACATGAGATAAGTTTTTAATAGGTTAAATCAAAGACAAAAAAAATAAAAAGCTCCACTTTTGCACCTGCATGCTTGTCAGGAAGTTCTAACTGTTCTTTTTTTCTTGTTTTCCTTCAGCCTCACACTGACTACACAATGAGCTGCAAAGAAGCACATTCCCACCTGCAGGTCCTTCAGATCTACCGCCTGCTGCAGTACATCCATAAAAATGACAAAGTGCAGATAGAGAAGATGGTGAACATCGGGGTGGAAAACCTCATCAACCTCACTGAGCCAAAGGACGGCACTGGGGCGCTCCATGTGGCAGTTTCAACCAACAACCATGGTGATGGGCCTCTTCCAAAATATATGCAGTGTATTTACTTGAACAAGGCGCTCGGCTAGCCTGCTACCTGGCAACTTGACCCCTTTCCAAACTCCGTCACACTTGGTAGAGGCAAACAATGAAAGTAACCTTTGGCAGGGTTTTACCTGCAGAGAGGATTTTTTTTATTTTTTTTGCAGCTCCCAAACAGGTTTTAGCAAGTGCCATAGAAAAATGATTTTGTTTTGTTAACTGAGGTTTTGTTTACTCGAGCATAAGAGACATTTTTATTTATCAAATGGTCAGCGATAACAAGAAAATGTATACGTTTCTGTCAGACATTGTTTTTACTGTACACAGTCCAGTTGTACTTACTATCTGCATACTCTCCCCCACAAGGCTCATTGTGAGCAAGGAAAAACCCTGATTGCTACGTTTACATAACTCAAATACTGTGAATATTTATTTTAAAGTAACCTGAGTTTTTGTTTACAGCCGCCAAAAACCAGTGTAAATACTATGCCTATTTTTTTCTTGGCTATAAAAAATAATGGTCAGAAAGAGGTGTGATAGTTTCCAGACTGATAGAAAATGGCATTATAATAGCAAAATGAATGTCTACTCTCAAGTTTAAAGGAGAATCTTAATCAGTACCTGCGGTAATGTTTAGGAATGATAAGTGTGCCTACACAGGAGACTGAGAAGAAATATAAAGCTAAATAATCGGCATTGGGGTACTCGTAGCCAAAATCTACAACTTTAAAATGTTTCTGATGACTTTCAAAATCAGTCATAACTCAAGAGAAACCAGTTCATAGAATTTGCTTGTATTAAACCTGAAATGTAATCTGTTCCTCTGGGTTTTTTCTTCTCTCTCTCTTTACAGACCTCGTCGACTTCTTTCTCTCCCACGGAGCAAATCCCAACATCCAGGACAAGAAGGGCCAAACCCCAATCATGATGGCTGCTGAGCTTGGCAACCACACCATCGTGGCTCTGTTGGCCAAGAACCAAGCTGACATGAGGCTTCTGGATGCTGAAGGCAAAGGTGAGCAGCCAAGGACATTACACATGGCATACGGTGTAGCATGCATATGGCGGAGAAGCTGTGTGAGGGAGAGATCAATGGCTAAAAAATCAAAATGAGAGACACCGGTTACAGAATGGTGACAGAAAGTAAAACTATAAAGACACACTGAGCAACAACAGAGTTTCAGTCCTCTTAGGGCTGATGCAGGAGTTTAGGACATGTGGTGGGTTTAGGAAGGTTAGGACCATGAGATGTGTACTATCGCTTTGTACAAAGTGCATTGAGTAGTCAGCGACATTTTTTGTGTGACATTGCACATGCCACATTATAATATAAATAAGTAAGAGCGTGTTAAAATTATTAGATAAGGACAAGCATGGCAGTAATACAAGAGCATGGTGCAGGAGCTGGATGAGACTATGGCCTCTTACCTATGGAGCAAGCTCTACACAAGTGAGGCTTAAGAGAATAATTTATGAGTAAAGTAATGAGTGGGGGGAGGAAGGAGAGCTTGAAATGGTTGTTTTTACATTTGCTGCCTCCAGAACATTCACCTGATGGTAGTAATTCATTTTAGTGGGTTAGATATTCATTTTTCCCAATTTACTTGTAATACAGTTTGCTGTTTGCAGTGTTTACACTTTAAATGCAGCCACACCGATGACTTTTTTGACATGGTGTCACTGAGTTTGGAGCTAAGTCTGAGTAAATAGTCAGTAAATAAACCCTCAGACATAGACTCTTTGTTCAGTCTCAAAGTCTCCGTTAGGTTGTGCTAGTTCAAAGCTGTGAAAACGTGGGAATGTTCACAGGTTGTCTGCCAAAAATAATGGCTTAATCCTGGAAACTTTTCTCCTTATGAAAGTAACGCCAGTGATTGTCCAATGAATGAGAGTTTGGTCGGTTGAGAGCATATGAATCTCCTGACAGGTCTAATCAACACTAGACCACAGCTAAAGGTCATTTTTCGGTCAGATTTTATCAGTCAAGTCAGTACAAATAAAACTCTGACACACTGCAGAGGGATGCACTCACAATGTGTTTGTTCAGTAACTTGAAGTGCTTTAACTGTGTGAGGTAATGGAAGAGCTTGGCTTCGACTAATATATTCTCATTCGAGCTTGAAGTGTCCATTTCCCTAATAGAGGTGTTTTCCATCTCAAGTTAGAGCTGCTGAATGCCTTGCCTTATCTTACAACTCATGAAAATGCATGCTGCCTCTGTTTAGATATTGATGAGGAGGCGGTATCCCCGACAACTCCAATCAGAGAGCCTAAAGCTCTTCTTCAGGACCTTTTTCAACCTGTTGTGATAATTACCCCAATTACAGTGTGTATGGGGGCATCAATTACTGTAACAGGCACTCCTCTGAGAACAGAAAGAAAAGAGCAGAGACAAGGCAGAGCATATTTGTGTGTGCTCATGCATGAATACACTACATGCTTTTGTATAATTTACATACCCCGTGCAGTATGTATACATGTGTGCGTGACTGTATGTGTGGAAGGATGTGTTTGTATGTCAGGCAACACGGATACATCTAATTACAGATCAAGTCCTAATGGTGATCCTCTCTTGTGAAGCACGCTGGGTAACCTGATATCACCCTGCTCTCCCCAAGGACCTGTTGGGCCTGGTCTCAGTACTCTCAGCCAGGCAATTCCCCAGCAGGCTGAGCTTCAATGGGCACTTGATTGTATTATCCGTGGTGTTGGCCTCAATGTTAGAGCAACCAGCCTGAGGCACCAGTTTGAATGAATGATGAAGAGTGAATGTGTGCAACTGTGTAAAAACTCCTAAGCAACAGAAAAAAACTTTCCTGGATGAGTAAAAGTAAAAAATGCATCCATATGTGAACCTTGGATGTCCTTCAGTTTCAGATTCCTTTGCAGGAAATCACACAGACATACAGACAAAATTACAAACATAGTGAGTTCACTGCAAAATATTGCTAATTTAGAGGATATTGTTGCATGTTTACCATTTTTAGGGCGTTAATAGCTGTGGTTGAGAGGAAATAGGGGATGAGACAGATGGGTGTGACCAACAACAAAGGTCCTCATTCAGAATTTGAGCTGGGATGTTGTGTTATATGGTGTCTAATACCAGGCTCAGACTACAGAAGCTTTGCCCTCGTATCACCCCTACTAACAATACAAGGAGAAATCTGACCTGGGATCTTGGTCTAAACTGATGTTTGACCCAGATTTTTTTTGTAATGTGAGGATTTACAGATCAGGTCTTAAACGTCTTGAACTGGTCCCAGACTCACTGTTGCTGCCACGATAATATCGATATAACACAGATAAGGTAGCCTATGGTTTCAGATAATGAGCTGTGATAGGCAAACTGCTGTTCGCAAAGTTTATACTTGATTTTTTTGGTCATTTATTTTAAATGCAGCCACTCTGATGACTTATTTGACATAATGCCATTTAGTTTTGCTTTTGTTTCACCCCTTCTGACAACACAAGGAGACATCTGACCTGGGATCCTGGTCTGAGCTGATGTTTGACCCAAAACTACTTGCAAACTCACTGGATCCACACTGATGATATTAAACATGTCTGATATTTAGGAATTAAAATCTGGATTATTACTTTGTTAGTTCCCAAAAAAGTGAACACTGCTGCCAAACAATGCTGAACTTTCTAGCCCTTGAAGGTAAAACGTTAGCTACAGATATTAAAGCTGATAATTAAAATCTCACCTCCAGTTCTAGCTGATGAATAGACAAACTGTTGACCAAATCTTAACAACCATTTTCTCACCAGACTGTGATTTTTGTTTCTTACTGCAAAATGTCACTACAGCACCAAAGTCTCCATTTTGTTTACATCTGCTTCCCCATCAGATCACGTGAGGTGGCACCCTGATTTCCCCTTCTGGTGCAGTAATTTTAATAATATCCTGTGATGTTTGAAACACCATTGTTTTCAAATCTTGCAGTGTATGCATACTTGAGATTAGAAATAAAAATATCTGAAGTTTCTCCATATTTGTGTGATGCAATCTGATTTCAAAATCTGTTGAAATTTTTTAAATCCTGGAGACAAATGTCAACCAGAGAGTCAATCACCCTATCTGTCTATGTTGGTTAAGTTTTGCTAAACTTTCACACCCATGATGCCCATCTTTAATTCGTCAATCAGGTGTGCTGTTCTACTGCATCTACCCCACCAAGCGCCACTCCCGCTGCCTGCAGGTGGCGCTGAAGTGCCAGGCGGACGTCAACAATGTGTCAACGAAGGCGATTCATGTCTTCCAGCTAGCATGTGAAAAAAGCGAAGAGTGTGAGCCCTTGTGTCTTATTATGCTCGATGGTGGAGCAGATCCCAATGCAACAAATCAGGTAAAACAAACAGATATCAGAGACAACGCTAAGAAGTAGTGGGAGCTGCACTTTGAAGAGACTGTGCAAACTGATAGCTTATCCTTTGAGTACACAACATAGTGTGATGCTGTGATATTTGCAGCTCTTCATGCTGTTTCCTTTATACTTACGCTGAGTCTTCCTCTCTCCTCTCCTCCAGAATACTGGTGTCACAGCGTTAATGGAAGCAGCCAAAGCAGGCTCCCTGCAGCTTGTTAGAGCCATTCTTAAGAAAGGGGGAAACCCCAACGCCCTGGATGGGAAGCGCCTCACAGCAGCACACTACGCCGCCATGGGGGGCTTTTTTGAGGTGTAGTAGCTTCTAAGAAACCAAACACATTTTATAGAATCAAATGATAGCTAAATTTATATGAATATAATCTGAAAATGGAAAAGATGTTTGCATAATTTATGATTTGTACCATTCAATTGATTAGAGTATTGTAATTGTCTGCCAACTATGCATTATTTAAATTTGTAATGCGAGCACTAACTCAGATTACACTTTTCTACTGTCAGTGTAGACACAACTTTACATTTAGGATTCTGTAATGTGTTCCTCTGTGGTGTCCTGTTTTGTGCAGGTGATTCAGGTGCTGTCTGCACACTCGGCAGACCTGGGAGTGATCAACATCGATTGCAGCACACCTTTACACTACGCTGCTGCCACAGGCAATGCTAACTGCTGCAAGTTCCTTGCACAGAGAGGTACTTTGAGGGTGGTTTCACATAGCCAGATTTATCTCCACAGTGTTTGGAGAATGGTCTCACTACACCTCAATATAATTCTGCTATAGGGGAGGAAACACTCTGGCTTGTTTGTAATTCTTTACACTAATCCCACTTATCTCATATGGCTTTAAGCACAGGATGGTGAAACATTTGCACATCAGTAAAATGGCTAATGCCCTTAAAAAAACAAGTAGGCCTGCCTCATTGCATGATCCAAATCTTTGTCAAAACTTGCCATTTTCAGTGTGGGAGGTTGCTGGCTTGAAGGTTGTATTTTTTCTGTAATGGAAGGAATACCCAAAATGTAGATAGTGGAAGGGGAGGACAAAGCTGTGTGAAATGCGAGTCAGACATGTCATTTGTATTAAACCTGCAGTCTACATTCAGTAAGTCAGACTACTGTAAGAGAGATGAACAGTAGACGACATCCTGATGTCAGTACAGTGAATTTCAGGTTGTTGTTTTCTTAGTTGATGGGACTGAGATAGCTCTGTGGTCATTACTCCTACTGTTCTTCAGGACTGTTGTTACAGGATCAGGACTCGCCCTTTTGTATTTACATACTGTAAGCTTATAACTCTGCTGTGATACACGTGGACCCAGGAAATTAAATCAAACGGAAGAATATGCAGCTGCAAACACAGTCCCAAATTAAATTGGGTAATTCTACCATATGTTTATATTTTTCATAAAACTCTGCTCCGTGTTCAGGTTGTAACCCGAAGCTGAAGAACCAGGAAGGTTTGCTGCCACGTCAGATTGCCAAAGACTCCGGTCACAAAGCAGCAGCCAAGGAGCTCAGGAAAGCGGAGAAGCAACAGGGGAAAGGCAACAAATCCAGCAGTGTCAACCTCATGTCAGCTGTCTGGGCGCTGACCCTCCACGACTGGTCTCACGAATATGAGACTGAATTACGTCAAGCCTTCGGGGACGGATCGGACACCGTTGGTAAAGACCAGTTTATTTCTGTGTTAGAGGAGCTAAAGGCTCCAGCTGAACTTGACCAGCTTCATGCAGTCATCTCAGCCCACGATAAGGGAGGAGAAGGGAATGTCAACATTAACGACTTCATCAAAGGTGTCAAGTACATCAAGAAACCATTCCTCCTCTCGTCTTATATGACCAAAAAGAAAAAAGGCGAAAAGGGAGGGAAAGGAGGTAAGAAGAAGGGTAAATTTGTCCTCCCCATGCCCATTTGCACCGAGCCACTAGAGCTCATGCCCCGGCGACCGAACGGAGGTCCACCTCACTTCATGATTGAGACCTACTACAACCCTTCAGACATCCGCAGATTCGACCCCGATCACCCACCAACACATCCCGTACTGAACGACTCAGGATGGTACGTGGAGAAACCAGACAAGGTCTACATCAATATTAACTACTCTGTGAAGAGCGGAGATCTGGAGTCTCTGGACCTCGCCTTTAGTCAGGGCGTTCCCGTGGATGTCCATGATGAGTTTTACAAGACGCCGCTGATGGTGGCCTGCTCCAGCGGCAACTACGAGGTGGCCCAGTACCTCCTCAGCCATGGGTGAGAAAGCGAGCTCATGTTTTGAATTCAGAACTAACTGATTTTTTTTATTTGTGCCTTTCAGGTAACAGCTAATTCACAATTTTAACATTTATCATATGAAACTGTGGCTGCAAGAAAAGTTTGTTTTGCATTAGCGCTAGCACCTCACACACAAAGTGGAAATAATCAGTGAAGTTAACATTGAAGAAAATAGCATGCTTAATTACATCCTGCATTGTTTCCTGTGAATCACTGGTGCAATAGTAGGTTGTCTTGAACTCTGCACAGAATGGCAGATCCATTGACAAGAAAATCTACTGTACCCTCTTGCATGAGGGTACTTGCATAAAGTTCTTGGCCTCACCTGAAAATAAGGGGCATAATTCTCATTTTGGGGCATAACTGTATAATATACATATACTATACTTTTGTCACAGTCTGTGAAAACTCAAATGTTTGAAGCAACCAAAGAAAAAAAGGAGAGGAAAGCTTCAAGCTGGCTACTGTTGCTCTGAGTTGCTCGCGTCCACGCAGCACAGGTAGCAGAAGCAGCCAAATATGTCTTTGAACTGTTGCTCGATGCACCTTACTCACCTGACCTGCACCGCCTAACTTCTGTCTGTTTCCAAACTGAAATCCCACCTGCGTCTGCACGGTTTTCAGAGAGATGCTGAAGTTATGCATGCTGTTGAGGAGTATTTGGAGGTCGAGATGTGACCTTCCTTTGCGAAGGGATAGTGAAGCTTCAACGTCAGTAGACCAAGTGCCTTGAAGTTAAAGGAGATTATGTTAAAAAATGATGCAAGAACGATCTTTCTCCTGTGATGTTTTATTTTTTGGTGAGGCAGAGAATGTTTTGAAGTGCCCTTGTAAATACATTTAGTGGCTAGTATAAAGCATATTGCAGACTGCAAATAGTCAAAGAATTCAGTTTTAGAAAAATAATTCAACTTTAAATGCACTTAAAACTATTTAGTGCAAGCTTAAAACTGAGGATTTTGTTTAAGATTTCTGTCATAAATTAAGTTGCAACAAAGACATAGTTCCTAAAGTGTGATTAAAGCACTCATACACAAACTAAAAAACAAATTGTGCTGACAGCTAATAACACAATTAGAATGTAAAAACTTGAAAGTTGATTTGTGTTCACAAATTACTTCGTGTACGCTTGTAGATATCACAAAATCAAACCAGGAACATAAAAAACTGGCCTAAAGTCAAAAACCCTTGGTCTTGAAATGGTCCTTTGATACTTTAAACTTGATGGTAAAAAGTTCTTCAGTGCTCAGACCTATTTTCAGTGTGTGATGATGCCTCTTTGAACAAGCTAACTGTTCCTGACAGGGCTGACGTGAATGTGTGTGACGCGTTCCTCTGGACGCCCCTCCATCATGCTGCTCATGCTGGTGACGTGGAACTTATTGAGCTCCTGGTGAAGGCGGGAGCCACCGTAGATGCTCAGGCCCTCAGTGGAGGAACGCCTCTCATGAGGGCCATCGAAAGCTCCAACCCTTCCTGCGTGGACTTCCTCATCAAGGCAGGAGCCAGTGTGAATGCAGAGACCAAGAAAGGTTTGACTCAAATAATTCAAAGTTCAATTGCAAGGAGAGTCTCTAAGAAATGCGTACCGGGATGTTTTATAGCTGGGGTTCACATTTCCTCCGTAACATTATCCACAAGAATCGTGGGTTTTTGGGTATTTCTTCAGCTGCAGGTTCATCTCCATATGTCAGCTTTAAGTTGAGGTCTTTTTGTGAATGTGGCAGGGTTTAAGCATTCTTATCCTAGGATGTTACACATACTATGTAAATAACTTTTTGTAATATTTATGACTCTCTTTTTCAGTGTAGTCCTGAAAATAGTTATTCGGTGGAAGGTTTTTGTTTTTCCATGGTTTCCTTTAATATGTAGAGTATGTTTATTGGGGATGACATCGTAGTCTGTCCCTTTTTAAGACAGTTTCTCTTTTTGTAACAAACTATTTGCCTGATGGAGGTCTAGCACTAAAACATCTCTAACAAATGTATTTTTGCAAGTTGAACAGTGTGTGGGAGCCTGAATGAAACTTTTGGATACGCTCATCCCTGTCCTACAAACCAGGCTCGTGAATTGGAAGTGCAGACAATTCCTTTGGGTTAAATCATACAACTGATATTTCTGCTATGATTTGACTGATTGTATTTTATTCCACTGCAGGACACAACTGCCTCGATGTGGCCAGAGCTTTTGGAGACTCCAGAGTAATTGAATTGGTCAAAGATAAGATCGATTCTCTGCCTAAACCAAAGGACCCAGCGAAGGGGAAGGGGAGCAAAGCTCAAAAACCTAAATCTGCTAAAGTGAAGGTATCCAAGTAGCTCCAATAAAAATCTTCTGACCAGTCCTCCAAGAACATAATAAAACCTTTAGGCTTTGTGTAAATTATGTGTGAAATAGATTTTTTCTTCATTTACTGTTGACTGAAAACACGGTAAACCTTGACTTTTTTAATGCATGGCTCTAGTTTTTCTGAAGCACTAAACATAAAAAGGCGATTTCCTTGACCAGCAGAGTGGTTCAGGTCCCACTCACCCAGTGAAGGATACAGCAGTAAAACCACACTCACTATTTTTCATCTGAACACTCCTTATAGCATGAGGGAAACAAACCCCGTAGAGGAATCTGATTCCTATAAGTAAGCAAATCACACCAGATGTGCTTTGTTACAACTAGACCATGCTGGTGTTTCATTTTGCTTTTCCTGTAAGCGGGCCACAATCCACCAAAATGTATTGATTTTGTTATTACGGCTCTGAAGTGTGCTGGTGGTCCCGTGGCATAAATTACTCAAGAATATTCATAACTCAGTGTAGTTGCTAGCAGCACTTCTAGAAGGAAAGAGAAAGTCGATCAAGTGGAATAAATTACAAACAGGTGCAACAAAGAACTGAGATTTTTTTAAATCTTACCTGAAGAGACAGTTTGGTCCACTTCATGTTTTCTGCTTGTGGCAAACTTTCCCATTCAGTCAACAGACCTTCAGGATTTACTTTCGACTTTAAGAAGCCAAAAGCCCATTAAACTTCCATCTACTGTGACTTACAAACGAATCAATCACTGCAAATAATGCATGCACATTCACTCTACTTAGTTATGGCTCTGAGCCAGCGATCCAGTGGGATAATTAGTTCTATAGTCAGCTTATAAACACCTAGAATTGTATGCACTTGGTAAAAATAAGATCTTCAAATAGCACAAATGAAAAATTTGTGTTTTGTTTTTTTAAGCTAGTAGTCATAAACACTCACTGCAATCATATTTAATTCATCTGATTTAATTGAACCAGTGTCTGTTTTAATTGTTATCATTTTTTTCCCTCTCTACGAAGTCATTGCTGCTAAATTGATTTACATGTCAGCTAAATGTTACGTACCCTCAGAAATCTAATAATAAGCCTTCGCTGTTGTAATTGATATTGATCATGCATATATTTACTGAACACACTGTGACCATAAACAAAATGATTAAAAATGTTTAAATTGACTGTACAGAGAGAAAGTGGCAGTAAAAACACTGACTCCAACATTTGACCCCATTTTTTTGTGCTGATCACTGTATTGTTTGGTTAAGAAAAAGTCTGTTCAGTGCTCTGCTATAGAATCAGTGTAAGTATACAACAGACTGTTTTTAAACTTTTAAAGTAGGGGATGGTTGAAACAAGGACATGGTGGAATAGATGCAAAGCACTTAACGGCAGCCCTAGATAATATACAACTGCAGATGCACAAGGCCTTCAGTCCAGCTTGGCAGCAGCTACAGGCAGGAGAGTCACTGCAGCAGCACCTTAATGACACTGTAAATATCTGGATGTGCTACGTATGCAGGCAAGAACAGTAATATCCAATTCAGCTACTGTTTTTTTTTTATTATATTGTTTAATTATGTGCAATTATATTTTACATCTTTGACATGCAAAAGAGTTTGTTCACTAATGTTTTTACTGATTTGGAGAGGAAAGAAGTAGTATTCCTTAACTAGATTGTATTTGTTCAAAGTAAATATCTATTGTTTTGATGCTTTTTTGTGCTCCTAAATAGTTGACATTGAGGTTCTTTGTCCTATGTGTTTCCTGTATCTTTACTAATATTTACGGAAAAATCAGAAAGGTCTTGATTTTAATCCTCAAACTGCAAACGGTTTATGTCACAGACCTAGATTTGTGTTTTATTCTTGATATTTCTCGCTGCTATCATGCACCTAAACCCTTCCTCCTTCAATCTGACACTTGCTCACCTTTGCTTTTTATCAACTGTGGAAGTGTTTGAATAAGATTTGGAAAATGTGAACATTTCTGGTGTTCCCTGCAGGGTTTTGCTGCTGAAGGTGTGGTGCACGCTGAGGCATCAACTGCAACAGCAGGGAGGACTCCTCTGCAGAAGGAGTCAAAAAGTGTCATCCTGCAAAACACCAGGATCACTACAGGGAAAACCAACACTGTTGACATCACATTTGTGCCAAAAACGGCAAGTTATTTCTTTTTGTCTTGACATGGTAAAAGATATGTTTCATATTCAGGATGATATACTGCACCAACTGCAATGCTATCAGAAGAGTGCATCCTAAATACATTTTGGTACATTTTTACAGAACTTATATCCCGACTTGTGTGTCTTTCTCAGGTTTGGGGGAAGCCGCCCACCACCCACCAGCTGATGTCAAAGTTAGAGAAACGGAAGCAGCCCTTGTCCCTGGAGGTGGACCTGGATGATTTCTTGATGCCTTTCAGCCGCAACATCCAGAGGAAGATCCTGGAGCTGACAAAACACACAGACTAGACTGGAAGAAGGTCAGGCAGAGACAGACACTTTGGAATCATAGGCTGTTAACCGAACTGGACACCGGTAACAATGATGGATATCTGACTGAATTGGGACCAAAATATTTTCATTCCAGCTTCTTTTATCAGCAGTGTTGGACGTCGTATTTAGTATAACAGCATATCTGTGATATAATTTCATCATGCTAAGTTACCAAGGGTACAATCTGCTTTTATTAATAATCAAAACCCAAAGCCATACCAATGATAGGGATGCAAATAATCTGTTAGAAATAATTGTGCACACCCTTTAGTACTGTATATCCACAATGTTCAGCAGGGACTGTTTATCCATTACATATTTGTCAATACAATGGAACACATATAAAGATTTTTGCACATACAGAATATAATGGCTGCTGTACTTGTGGTGGAACAGTAGTCGTGTGGTTTCACTGTGTGGAATCACATGACCCTGAAAGTTAACTACCTCATCTAATAGAGCAGCTGAAGTAAGAGAGTAACAGGCTGTGACTGAATTAAATACTGTGAGTCGAGGACAGGACGTGCTGCAGTTAGTTCGAATCCTCCGACTGTGCAGAGTCTCAGCTGCAGTGAGATGTCAGGTGGAAACGACCGGAGGACACGTCTGTCTGTCTGACGGGGCTGCACTCAGAGGCCGACACTGATTCATCACTATTCTGTATTTATATCTGACTGTCTGTCTGTCTGTCTGTCTTTGTAACTTTCTGTAATTCTGTCTGTCTTCCTTTCGCACAGTCAATTTGTATGTCTGTCTCTGTGTCGCTTTCTTTGTATGTCTTTCTTTGTCTGTCTTTATTCTTTTTTTCTTTTTCTTTCTGTCTGTCTGATGCTTTCTGTCTGACCATCTGGCTGGCTGTCTTTCTTTCTTTCTTATGTTCTTTCTTTCTTCTCTCTGGTTGTTGATTGAACCCATAAAAGCTCATCTCTATGTATCACAGTTACATCTTTAGACATATTTTTCCTCAGATCCTGTGCAGATCTACGAATGTGCAAATCTCCATAGTACCTGTCATAGTACCCCCCTCTTGACCCTTCCTGATGTACCTCAAGCACACCAGCTCACCAACAACTCTGCTTAAGCGCTGTACAAATGAATGTACACTACACAATGGTAAGTTGAAATGTTGGAGTAAGTCAGCCGTAATCATTAAAACGGGAAAAAGATTCTGAGGAAAAATAAATCCCATCCTGCAAGTTGACAAGACTGGTTTGTTATGGTTTTGCCGTAGAGTCTAAATTTATGGTAAACTGCACTATCAAAGTGGAAATGCATAAAGAACACCATATGGACACGTCATCAAGGTAAAAAAATAGATTTTCTTAAAGTAGAAGCCAGACACACTGATATCAAACCTGTACTCAGTCAGTTTGAGCCCTCGTGACTCTCTCATGCTGTGAGATTTGGTTTCACTACTGGAACTGCAGTCAAAACGTCAAACTGCATGCAGTAGAATTTGCTGCTCCCCAGTTGCAGTTCCTTTTCTTTCCCAGCACATGGCGCTGTTTGGCAAATTTAGCAATGCAGGGGTTCGGTTGTTTATTAGGCTGCTAGAACAGAAAACTTGGAGGGGAGCACTCGTGTTCCTCGCACAGAAAGACATCAAAATGGCACCCATGTGTGTTTACTGTTCTCATATGAGCCACTCACACGGCTTTGAATGAAGAATCTGCAAACTGTGTGTTAGTCAGAAGATCATTTGATCTGAATAGATGCCCAGGAATTCCTTGTTTTATCTTTCACATGAGCACGTTATCGATTCTGTAGCCGAGCAGTATTTGGGTCACATTTCGACTGTCGACGGCGCTTATCGGAAATAATCTCAGGAAATAGGCATCGTTTTGTGTGTTAAATGTCGCATTGAGGCGCACTCCCATCATCACCAGCACCATCGCCAGATAAAATTAGATTGCAGTGTCCTCAAGGTCCACGGGGACGCAGTTATATAATCAAATATACAGGCAGAGGGGGTGGAGGGGTAGTGGCTTTGAGGTTCATAATACTGGGGCCGGGATTGTTTGAATATACACAGTTAGAATACTATTGATGATGATGATGATGATGAGAGAAAGAGAGGCAGATGAGAAGAGGAGAGCGATGAGGAGGCAGGAAAAACTCACATGTGATGATATACAGAAAGAAAAACGGAAGAAAAACAGTGAAAAAGCATCCTAGAGCCATTCATGATGAGGAACTGACAGCGAGGAAAAGGGAAAAGGACACGAGGAGAGGAGGAGGTGGAGGAAGAGGAGGAGGGAAAAGAGGGGAGGCAGAGATGGAGAGGGTGACTCAGAGGATGGGGAGGGAGGGAGGGAGGGAGCACGACGGAGGAATGAGAGGGGAAGCGGAGGCGGGTGGAGAAGACGAGGGCTTTTCTAGCACAATCAGTGGCACACAGGTTAGAGGGAGTAAACAAGGCTGCTGGCTGTGATTGTCGGTCGTGACGCAGTGTGTCTGTCAGGGCGTGGGCTCGGGCTTATATGGTCATGCAGTATGTGTGCTGGTGTGTGTGTGTGTTTGGGTGCATTCATGTGGTGTGAGCATGTAAACCCCTCAGATCATTTTATTTATGATGTGTCATTCAGTGCTCGCAGATTTTCCCGCCGTGATGTGCTTGCAGGGCTTGTGACTGATGCTGAAATGTGAGTGTACATACATGCCAATAGTGTATTTTTTTCACAGTTTAAGAGCCCATTTCACAGCCTCTCCTCTCCCCTCTCTACCTCCTCCTCTCTCTCCCCCCCCTCTCTGCTGAGTATCAGTCTGAGCTCAGATCAGTGTGTGTTGCAGCCAGCAGCACTGCAGTCTCCCAGCTCTGGCCCTGCACCGCTTACTCAGCACTCCAACCCTTCACTTCCCAAAACAGCCCTCTGGGACACACACACACACACACACACACATAGAGATTATATTATCGCTGTTTACCACATTATAGTATGGTATTATCACTCTATGTTATAGCATTACTTACACTGAGCACGCACACACACACACACAGATGTGCTCACACATGCATGTCATCTAATAGTTGCATACTTTAGTCAAGGAAGCAGACAGACGCTGTGGACACCACACATGAAATACACACAGACGTCCTTTCAGTGCTGCTTGTTTCTGCATGCAGCTTTCTGAACCCACATGATTAACATGTAGATATTATTTACTGAACATAAACGATTTCCTTGATTACAGTAATATGCAGTAAAATAATTTTTGCATGACAGTGCAGAAAACTTTTTACTTTTATTTATGGTATTTCTGAAAAAAATATTATGTGATGTGAAATAATGTGCTGCACTGTAAAACAACAAAAAAAAGCAAAAAAAAAAAGTTTTAAAAAGGGAGGAATACTGTAGTGTTCAAAAACTGTAAAACAACAAATAGATTATATTTTTAGCTAATTTAAATACAATAATACAGCATGATTTTACACACATTTTGAAAGAACAAATTATTATTTGTAAAAATACAGATTTTTGTCGTGGGCAATATTTGTAGTTTTGGCCTCTTTTTGTTTTTACAGTCTACATGTAAATTAATACTTTTTCTGGGATTTTACTAAATATTATCTGAAATTTAACAAAACAGTCATAAAAATCTTTTCTTTCTAACATTTTGTAAATCTTTTATGTACATAGTTTTTCTTTTTAAAAAATGCCAATATCTGGAATACAATGATGTTATGTTTATACACTAACACGGTGTAATTTTACAGCCATATGCTTTGAAACAACAAATAACTGTGCACATTTTCTGTCCAATAACAGTAAATATATGTTTAAAAAAAATGTTTTTTACTTAACATTTCATCATTTCATTTTATTTCATTTTTCATAGTTGTTGTTTTTACAGTATACATGTTAAATTATACATTTACTGTGATTCCATTAGCTACTATTTGTAAGTTAACAAAACAGTGAAAATTTGTAAAATAACAGTCAATTTTTTTTTGCTATTTTTAAATCCTTTATATACATAATTTCCCTTTCAAAAATGACAAACTTCTGTAAAATGATGGTATCTGATTTAAATGCAGAACAATAGTGTTATTCTGTGGTAAGTATTGTAAAAGGACAAATTACCATATGTAAAAAATAAAATAAAATAAAATAATGACTTCATTTATTTATTTTAATTATTTTATTTAATTTTAGGGATAATAGGTAAATGAATACTTTTTGGGGGATGTTCTTGTTATTAAAGATAATGGTAAAAATCTGTAAAATAACAGAAGTTAAAAAAAAATGTAAAATTTTTTTCATATTTTACTATTCTTTTTTTTTTCTTCTTCTTTTTTTATTTTTTTTATTACAGTGTATAGAACATGTTTAAGGCTTTAGAAATCTGATGACAAACTTGTGTTTAAAGAAAATCCATCAGCTGTAACTTGTAATTTCATGCATAGCTGGATTCAGGGCTCAGGCTGTCTCTGTTTCCCAAAGAGCCAATAACTGTAAACACAGTAGCGCGGTATGAAAACGCTGCGCTTAGCGAAATAATGGTGGCATAGTACAGATGCTGGTTTACCATCCATTATTGATAAGGGAGTCAAGTTTCACACCAGTCTGACTGACTCTACTGTATGTAACACAATAGTGTATAGTGTGTGTGTGTAAGCAGTTCTTGGCATGTTTGTCTGCGGTTAGCACCTGTGCAGGTTTACTGAGTGGGTGAAATATTTCGGTGTGTTTGTGTTGCAGTGATTCATCATTCATTAGTGCAGCCTTGGCACTGCCATAGATCTCTTTAGCTTTCTAAGCTATAGATTCCAATTTGCTGCAGGCCTGGAACTTTTATTATGTGGATATTGATTTGAATTTCATAGTGAGACCAATAACGCTGGGTGGTAAACAGAAGGCAGGGTCTTGGCTCACATAAACAGACCAATTCCTGGGAAAGAGACCAAAAACCGATATAATAAATATCTCAGGCTAGATCACAGCTGCAGCGTTTTACTGACTATGCTTCCTCTGTAA